GGTGGGGGGTAAAATGGGATAGGGTTGGGGTTGAAAGGGGATGGGTTTGGGGGCTGAAATGGGGTGGGGTTGAGGGGTGAAATGGAGCGGGATTGGGGGGTTAAATGGGATGGGGGGCAAGGTGGGATGGGATGGAAGGGGTGGGGTAAAATGGGGTGAAGGGGATAAAGTGGAATGGGGGGTAAAATGGATGGGGGTAAATGCAGCCCCTGCAGCTGGTGCTTCCTTCTTCCAGGTGGGATCCCACTGGGAGGATTTGTCCCCAGGAGGGTGGGTGTTGGGTTGGTGCTGCCCCCCCTGCATGACAAGCAGCCTCCTTGTCACCCCCCCTGGTGACCACTCACCAACACTCCCCTGGTGCTGCAGCAGAGCCCAGAGCCAACACTGGGGGAGGGTCCCAGACACCCTGGGATTGCTCAGGCCACCCCATTTCTGCCCCCAGCTGAATCCCAGCATCATGACAGGACCCCCCCAGCTCTCCCAGTGGCCACTGTGGAGGAGACATGACGAGATGTGGCCAGGAAGGGGGTGGTGGTGATGGTGGTCGTGGTGGGGGAGGGACAAGGTAAAAATAAAGAGGTTTTTATTCCACATTTCTCCCCCCACAGGCTTGTTCTGCTCTTCCCAACACCTGTGGCTGCCCGAGGGGACACACCAGGGTCCCCCCCCAAAATCCAGCAAGTTTGTGAGGGGGAGGCAGCCCCTGCCTGGGTACTGGGGTGGGGGGGACACATAGAGAGCCAGAGACCCCCCCACTTTGTGCTGCTCCAGGAGCCTGAAGACACTTCTCCACGTCCCCACGACGAGGCTCTGTGGGGGTCCCCAAACTGCACAGGGACCACCCCCATGGGGATGTGGGTAGGGGGGCTGAGCCCCACCCCCCCCACCCCCAAATCCTGGGGGGGCTACCGGTGCCGATGCTCCAGGAGAGCCTCAAAGTCTGGGGAACACACCAGCTTGTGCTTCACGTGGCCCAGGACAATCATCTCTCCTGTCCTGTTGTCCCCGATGCCAACAGACACCAGCTCCTTTGGGGGGGGGAGAGGAAAGGCCCAGGAGCACCCCATTCCCATGGGAAACCCCAGAAACTCCCAGCCCAGCCCACTGGGGG